CATTGGGAAGAAACGCTTGGTCACCCTTCGTCCGTTTTAGAATCTTTGGGTGTGAGAATGTGTTGTGGTATTGGAGCTATACTTATTGGCTAGCCAGGGAACACAGGCTTCCCCCAAGGAGCTGGCCCAAGTGGCTGGGGAGAGAGATGTGTGGGCCTCTCTGCTTAGGCTGTGCCCCCACGATCCAATCCCAAATAAGTGGGATTATTCCTACTAGAGACCACTGCTAATGTATTAAAATATGTGTAAACTTGATTTTTAAGTTTAAAGTATTGAGTTTTCTTCAACTCCTTGTGGGCAGATGTTAATAAATCTCTGGAGTGTTTTTGTTTTTACAAAGTGGTGCTGAATGCTAAATTGCCACCAACTTGTCTTCTTGGTGTTTTTTAAACCACACTGTAGTTTATTTATTGTACCCGCCGACACGATTGCTTCAACTGACTGAGTTTAAGAAAACATTCCAGGTTGTTTTCTTTGTATATCAGATGGCACAACACAAATCAGTCCATCACACACCAAAATTGTTCCCAGACCCCGTTCCCACTGACATTAAATGTCTTTGCATATCTGTTTCAAGCTGCAAACCCTCCTCTTCTGAAAACATTCACATAAGAATAGACAGTTTAAACAGGTGCTATGGTAACATAATTGTAACTGCAGCAATTACTGCCTTTTGCCTGACTAACATCCATAAATCATTCTTCCTCCACAAAGAGGACGTTGTGGTGCTCCACTCCCATCCAATAATCAGAAATTGCTGCGTGTAGCGCGTGACGAGAGGGCGCTGAAATGACCCTTTCTTCTGTTTAGGGGCCAACGTTTTGCTCTCCGTGCGACATTACAGGGATCCTTCAGCAAGCATGATATTGTACCTGCTCGACACCTGTTGGCTTTAGCCGAGGGTTTCATCAGATAGTTGAAATAAATACTAGTCATCATCATAACCATAATCATAGTCGTAAAAACCAGGGGCCTTTGTGCTGTTGCCAAATTGCCCCGCCGCCTGATTTACAGTGAGAAACAGATCGAGCAGAGAGGGGAGGGTGGTGCCTTTTATATACCCAGGCTGAATACTCAAACACACCTGCAGACCACCCGTCTCTCTCTCTCACACACAGACACAAACACACCTGGGAACTTTCACAGGCAAGTATAACGGGTGGGAATGGATTCGAGGTTGGAACAGTTAGGAACTCTCCTGGGATCACAAAGACAAACATTGTCCTCCTCTCACACACAGAACAGCAGGTGAGCATCACGATAAGAAGCCAGAAAACAAATTAGCCCTTATATTAAAATAATCCCACATGTCTAATAACAATAATGTTCCCTACGCTGAGGCGCTAGCGTGCTCACAATGGTCTTACCTTTCAAACAGAGGCAGATTTGTGTGCTTGTGAAGCCAGGCCGCCGTATCTATTTGACCTGTCAACAGTGCTGAAATATGCTGAGGCTGGAATAAAGGATAGCAATGACTCAAATAATGTGTTGACTCAGAATCCTGACCAGCTGTGCCAAAATACCAGATATGGATGAAGCCAGGGAGTGTGAGCAAACAGCTCAAACTGATGTTAGACAAGAAGAATAAAAGAAAATGAGCTAAAATGTATAAAAATGGAATTCATTCTTACAGTTTAACTTAAGTTTCCCCATTCATCAATTTGTTATCTTAACTGCTTCATCTCCACTAGGGTTACAAGGGAGTTGGTGGTCTTTGGGAGAGAGGTGGGGTTCACCCTGGACAGGTCCATCACAGCCACTGACACAACCAACCAACATTCACATCTAAGGGACAGTTTTGGCTCTCCAGTCAGCCTGACATGCATGTTTTTGGTATCTGGGAAGAAACTGGACTCAACCCCACGCATGCATGAACATGGAAACTCTGCAGAAAGGCTGTAAGGGTGGTTGAACCTGCGGCCTTCTTGCTGCAAGGCAACAGTGCTATCATCTGCACCACCGTGCAGCCCCACTCATGTTTTGTGAAATATTTACTTTAACTTTTTGTAGAATATTTCTGACGGATAAACAGTTAAGTACAATGCCTTCTTGTTTTTCACATATCTAGGTCCAGGTCACGGGGGCAGCAAACCTAGCACGGAAGCCCCAAGCATCTGCTCCACGGCACTTTTACAAGCTCCTTTGATGGAGACCTAAAGTGTCCCAAGGCCAGTCTGAAGTCATAAGCCGTCCAGCATGTTCTCGGAAGGACACGCCTGAAACACCTCACCTGAGAAGACACTCCAGGGCTTAAATGCATTCTCATAACCACTTCAGCTGCATTGCTCGACGTAGAAGATCCAGAAGCTGCTCCAATCCTCTTGCTGATATCATCCTCGCTCATTTACGAGACCCTGCGATACTTAAACTCCTCCTGTGGTAGGACCAATCCTGACCCGGAACAGACAATTCACCCTTTTCCAGTTGACAAAGTTTCTCAAAGCAGGAGATACTGATCATCATCCAACTTAGCAGCAAACAGTTGCACACAGAAGTTCCAAAAATAAGTATGAAACAATAACAAATGGCAGCCATGACTAGACTCTCACTTGCTTTTCAGTAAATCTGCTGTTGTCTCTCTAGAATGAATGAATGCCTTGAGTCTATTTATGTGGAAAAAAAAAGCTAACGACTAAAGTTTTCAATTACGTTTTTAACGGGACGGGCGTGGGAACGAGCCCACGCACCCTGAGCGTAAACAAACACCCCGACTCTAAAGTTGATTTACACCTGTGTGTGTCACATGTCACGTGATCATGAAGCAGGCAATCCATGAATCAGGAGATTGTTCTGGGAGGCCGCTGTGCCTAAAGCGAGGCGCAAACCGGAACGCTTCTGCAGCTCACTTAGACAACGGACTGTGAAAGAATGGAAAAAGCTAGAAACACACCGATTCTTCCTGGTGTAAGTAGTGAGTCCACTCTTTCTTTTGGTAGTTTTGGTGTTTACGTGGTCATAGAGCGCAATGATCTGACTTTCATAAAAACTGTAAAAACGCTCAAAAACGCAGGCAGCCAGGGGATTTATGTTCAGAAGACGGCTGGCAGTGAATGAGTTAACATTCTTGATATGCTAACATCTCGCCTATGTTTGTCTAACAGAAGCGTAACTCCTACTTCACACAGGAAGCATCAGCGTCGCAGAGCGGCAGCGGAACGGTTTATTCACAAGCATCGCTGTGTGCCAGTACACACTGGGAGTCTCAGCTGCGGAGTGGCTTCTCTGCCACCCTCCTTGCTGGAGTTGATGGAAAATCCCTCGAGACTTCAAAGGTGATGGTTTGTTAATGCCATCCTTCATTAAACCTGAAAGAAGTTGTTCCTCTCCACTGGCAGGATTAAAGCCATAAAAACACATAGTTGCACTGATCTCCAACAATGTTAGGAGTAAAAAAGCTGTGAAATCATATCACTGCAATAGTGTTTTATTATGAAAAGTACCTGAGGTTTTACACTGAAACCCTGTGTGATTTCCTGTCTAGCTCTACATTAACTGTGGAAATCAACGTGTCCCAGAAGCAGCTGGCGGCAAAAGAATAATCCCACCCCGTCTTTAGCAGCGTGGCGAGCTGCTTCTGGGACGCACCTGAAAACGAAGGCTAATTGTTTGCCTGCAGTTGAAGAATTGTGTTGTTTTGATACTTTGCTCGTTGTCAGTGGGAATGACTTTGGTAAAATAAGCATAGAAAGCATAGGTGCTTGATTTCATAAATCTTTTTTGTTTTCCTTTCATATTGAGAAGCTTCCAGTTAAATACTGAACAAGTGTTGGACTGCGCTATCACGGGTGAAACAGCACTTACTAATTAAAACGTGTAGACACCTGAGAAGATCTTTAAAGGCCTGTTGTCCTCTGAATCTGCAATGTAAAAATCAGACGCTTCTGCGGTAAATCCATTTATGTACCTTGTGATTTTTTTCTACAACCCTGCAATAACTTATCTCTCCACGTGTGTTTATACTGGCTGCGTGTCTTCCCTGACCTCTCAGCAGGCAGATTCCTCATAGCTAACTTCGAGGTTATCATCACTCTCAGCAGGGCACTGGAGTATTTGCTGCTGGAGGACAAGAGAAGCTTTTATTTTACTGCACATGCAGGTTCAGATTTAAGCCTTTAAATATTCTGCTGAGGAATGACAATAACAACAAATTCTGACCACTTTTTACTTATTATTTTTGCATTTAACTTCTACACTTATCTCCTGCGTTAGCTTCGGATGGAAAATATATGAAAAACCGATCGCTTTGGAAAATCCCGACAGATCTACGTCACCCATCCTGACTCGCGAAGAAGGTCGTTGTTGATTTAGCGTCCAGGAAACTGCAGAGAACGTCTTGGTTAGTGGAAGCTAACCATTAGCATTAGCAACTCCGCCACACAGCAGAACTCTTCCAGGCCTGTGTTGTGTGTGGAAATAAAACGTCAACATTGCAGAGCAAACAGTCTTACTGGTAAAGTTGCATTACTGTTATCCAATCAGAGGAGAGACGTGCAAAGATCAGGAAATGAGTCTAAATCCTGTCCTGTTCCGCCACTTTCTCTTCCAGCTGATTTCTACGTCCTCAAACAGGCATGCCAAAGCTTTTTCCCCAAAGTACGACTTCCAAGGCAATCATTCGTACTAGAGACCACTGCAAATGTATTAACATATAGTTGGCCTCTGAGGGACTCTAGACACATCTTTAAACATTTGTCCCTCTTTCAAAATGCTCTAACAGCATAATTTGTAAACTGGAGCATTGTTTTACTAATGAGGAAATCGCTTCAGAAGCAGCCAACATGAGAATGTCCTCAGCAGAGTTGTTAGACACATCCTGTTTTGAATGATGAGTTTTATAGGAAACAGCAACAACAAGAAACAAACCGGTCATCTGTACTTCTACTTCTCAAAGAGGAACTCCCTGAACTCCACAAAACAGATGATCAAAACTTTTGAATATATAGCTTCAAGATGATCGTTCCCAATTTGGCTGACAATAAATAACAAATGATGAACGTGAATGCTTATTGAAGCTAGTTTTATTGATGAATTAACATAGTTTGAAAAGAACAGGAACAAAAAATAAATCAGAGCAGCACTTCACTGTAACGCAGTTTTTGTAGAACGTTTGTTTCTAACTTGTGCAAAATAGAACGTAAAAAGATAATTTATTCTCAAATCTTTAATGATTGTTACACTTAAAAAAAATTCTCCTTCAAATGAAGTACGTTCTCATTTGGATTTAAACTTTCATTTATTTTTATTGGTGTAACATTATCAGGCACTTTGTGTTTCTCTGGCTACTACGGCACATTTTAACACTTCCAGTATACAAGATATACCAGATTATTTTATTTTTCTATGTGAAAACTGCATTATAAACTTCAGAAAAACAGAGAAAACATTTAAATTTGAACAATTTTCTGAATAATCCTGTAAATCTAACATTAAACATGCCTGGTTTAGGTAACTTATCCTTCAGATTTGTGTGAAACAGTCATTTAAACCACTAAACTGAAAGCACATGTGGCTAAATGTGCTTCTTTTTATTTTACATGAGCAGCAAACATGTCCAGCAGCCATTTAAACTGGAATCACCAGTTTCAGGTGCAGAAAACCAAGTAAACATTCAAGTACTAAATACAATCCTAAATAACACGTAACAAACCATTTTTGAAAGAAGGAGTTGTGCTACGGCTTGCCAGGTGTAATGAGACCCGATGTTTCTGTCAGAAGGAAGCTCGTCATGGTTTAGAGGTATTCTGCATCCTCAGACGTCTCCTGGCCAAAGCCTCTTGCTTCTTCCTCTCGATCTCGGCTGCAGAGCACTTCCCTGTGGTCTGGCCGGAGATAAAGACTGGACACAAACACGGAAAAGTAGGAAAAGCTGATGTAAAACATTGCATTTGGTTCAATGACTCAGTCCGTTGGTCTTCTTACCTTTGCTGCTTATGATTGCTGAGTCTGACACATTTCTCTTGAATGTTGCATGATGGGACTTGGAGTTCGAGGGCTCTCTGACAATCAATGCATGTGGTTTCACTTCCACATTATTGCTCCCAGCCTGGAAAGTTCCAGAGAAATCCCTGCTTTGGTTGAATGTGCACAGGTTGACATGACTTTCCGGGAAGCTTTGAGAAATTCCAGATTTGCTGTTGGCACCTTTCATGGGAACGTTCCATCCTTGGTAGTTAGTGCCACAACTAGTTCCCGGTAGTGAGTTAGAACGAACAAAGCCACCAGATGATCGCCGGTTAGCACCGATACCTGAATTCTTTGCCCATGTTGTTGTGTCTACGGTCACAGGCTTGGTGCTTTTCTGTCGCCTGACTACAGTTATGTCTTGCTCTTTCCTGCCGTTGTCCAGACCCACTTCCTTTGACTGACCGTTGGAGATCTGCTCCACGCTGTCACATATCTGGTAGAGAAGAGCGTCATCATCCCTGTCATCCCATAAATGGTCTTTAACAGCGGACGTCCCAACTTGATCGTTAGAGACTTTGTGGAGTGAAGTGGGAAATGGCTTCAGACCAGCGAGGCTCTCACCAGTCATCTTTGATTCCGGTTGTATTTCAGTAAAGTTGGACTTTGGGCCCTCCGTGGAAAATGTGGGCTTGAAGTGAAGGTTGGACTCTAGCTTGAAAGTGCTTCGGTTGGTAGTTTTTGGTTTGGGACACAGTTCCTGTAATGCACTGCAGCTCATCTTGCAGATTTTGTCTTCAGGTTTATGTGCGGAGTCTGTTTCTGTAGTTGGTTTGGAAACAGAAGAGAAGTCGGTGTTTCTCTGAGAATCTGACTGAATAGTGTTCCTAGGATTAGCATATGGGTTTTGGGTGAGGGCTAGAACGAACGAGTCGTTGAGTAAGTCGTCGTTGTCCCAGTCATCGTCAAAGTCTGCACAGTAATTAGTGCTGTGATGGTTCGTTTCTTTTTGTTCCACAGGATGTACGGCTGACCCAGTCTCCTCTGAGAGCTGGCCTTTAACAGAACTTACAGTCGCAGTCTGGCTCTTTACTTCTTGTGAGCAGACAGAACTTTCACTTAACCTGCCACTGACTCCCTGAGTGGAGCAGTCAAACAGAGCGTGTAGCTCCGCCTCCACCCGATCTGATGGAGACGGACACTTTAGATCCTTCCCATTGTTCAACGACGATGTCACCAGCTTAGCTTCAGTAGTGTCTACAATTACAGGAAGGTTGTTGTCGATTCCCCTCAGTTGTTCTGAAGGCTCGTCATCTTGTTGCATGTTTTGATCGAACTGTTTAGCCAGTTTCACGAGGTCCTCCACACGACTCCGTCTACAACGTTAAACAAACAGAGGAACACAACAGTGAGACAATCAATAAAAAGTAACAAGAATCAGTAAAAAGGCAGAGTTTGTTCAATTACAGACCGAGAAGATCTCTTCCTGACTCTTGATTTTGGAATCTCAGGTGTGCTAGCGATGGTACCATCATCAATCCAGTGGAAAAAAGGGGATTCAGTTCTTTTTTGTTTTATGTTCTAGAAAACACACAAACACAGTTATTATGAATTATTTGAGTCAAACACAGAAACGATGAACCAAACTGCTTTTCATTTCAGTTGAATGAAAGGGTAACTGAAGCTGATGATGACTTTCATGTGTAGGAAGATGAAGGAAACACTGACCTTTGGGATGATGCGGTTAACCAGGTCAGATATTTCTACAACTCGGGTGTTCCTGTGTCCAGATCCTGCAAAAGGACACGTCAGACTGTCCTCATCAGCATCTCATAAGAATAATACCCAACAAAGAGAAAGTTCTGTCAGGTGTGTGTTTTTACCTGTCTGAGTGGGGGATGTGGAATCCCAGATAATATCCTGAGAAGCTTCGACATCTCCTGGAGAATCTCCATTATTAAGGCCTGGATATCTGCTGCAGCCTCGGAGCCTCGGACTCAGCAAATCTGCTCAACAAACAGAGGTCAAGCTCCACAACGATGCTGAGAGGATACCATCATACGGCGGAGGACGTGGACACTGATGTGCAGTTAAAAGGAATGATATTGCACAGCAACACGTAGTTTGGGGTTTCTCTGTCTTCGGATTCAACCAGAACATTTCTGCTCAAGCAAAGTCCAAACTTTAGGACAATCATAACAAGAACAATAACTTCATTATCTCAGTTTGGGTTTTGAAGCATGAACTATCCTCTCCAGATTTGAAATAACTCTGAATTACTGCCATGCTGATGAAGTTTAAGAGGATTTACCCTAAACGTGTATGTACCGTCATGAAGGATTAAACACTCTGCTTTAGCTGGAGTTAAACACCGTTAGAGAGGGATGCTTTTAGTTTAAAATCTGCCCAGGGCTTTGGAATCTATTTTATCAATAAAACATGGACACTTTCAGGTTAAACGTACTGAATCATTTTAGTGGTGTAAAGATCTGAGGTAACTAATCACATTACTGCCGTCATGGTTCAGTCATCGTTCTTTTAGAGTGACCCGTTTTAACTAAACTCCTTTCCATCTCACCGCGACACTGATGCGATGTTATTCCAGGGATCTTCTGCTCCGTCCTCCTGTCCTGACTTTTGTTACTCTCCACTTTACAAAGATGATTCCTCCACAGCTCAGAGAACTCCGGGCTTCGAGCAGAACCGGACATGACTCACTAAAGCCGAAGCTGCTTCGTTTGGCATACATCTGTTAACAACTTTGAGACAAACTGTTGGCTTAAAACCACAAAACTGTTTTTATATAGTCACAAAAGCGTTCTTTGCTGTTTGCTCTGTCGTTCGAATCAAGCAGCCATGTTGTTTTGTTGGTGACGTCACAAACTACGGCTGCCGGTCAGGTTTCTCGAAGGCAAAAAGTGAATCTCAATCTTTTTATTTGTATTTATTTTATTTGAGCATCATTTAGACTGCTATGAATGTTGGATAAACTTGGAAAAAGTCTAGAAGGAATTCAGGTGAGATGTGAAGAAAATATTTTTCTTATTTCTGCTTTGGTTTCATTACTAAATCCAGAACAATGTATTTTAATGTTCAGTTTTGCATGAGTTTATGTAAAAATCTGCAGTTTAAAATGTTTCACGTCTCTGAATATTTCTTGTTTTAATGTTGTTTTCTTTTTCATTCATTCATTCATTCATTCATTCATTCATTCATTCATTCATTCATTCATTCATTCATTCATTCATCCATCTTCTGTACCTGCTTCTTCCTGTAGGACCACTCTCTGCATTAGTCCTCCTTCCTTTGGAAACCATAGTTTTTGTGTTAAAAACTTAACAGGTACACACGAGTATTTGGTAGCAACGTTGCCTCAGTAAGAACGTTGCAGGTTCAAAACCCGACTGCAGCCTTTCTGCATGGAGTTTGCATGTCCTCCCTGTGCACACGTGGGTTTTTTCTGGGTAACCTACATCAGTTTCCTCCTACAGTCCCAAATCATGCGTGTCAGGTTACAACTGAAAATAGTTTTGAATAAAAGCATTTGCTAATCAGTGATATTCAACTCCGTGGACCAATATCTATATCTAGCATGTTTAGTTGTTCACCATCAGTGTGTGAACGGATGAATGATACACTGTAGTGTAAAGCGCTTTGGAGTCCTCTGTCCCTATGTATCGTTATCATTTGTTTCCCTAATCCAACACACTTGATTCATCTGTTCAGCAGCTCATCAAGTTCTGCAGAAGCCTGTTAATCACCTGCTAACTGAAGTCAGGTGTGTTGAAGCAGAGAAAACACAGAAACATGCTGAATACTGGATAAATAAACATATAGACAGTATGCATTTAACAAAATTACACATTATCATTTAAATCAAACGCCTGTAATAAATTTAATTAGTGAAAATTTTTACATGATATATTCGATTATATTGAGGACACCGATCTATCGGTCCTGATCTCGGGTATTTTTCAAGATCGGTGATTGACGATTGGCCAAAAACTGCCATCAGTGCACTCCTAATTTATATATTTCAATAGAAACATTGAATAATAAATGCATGTAAACTCTTTTTGTTTTATTTATTTATTTATTTTTGTCTTGTGAATCCCTACTTTTTCCAATTCTCTTTTATTATCATTAAAAAAGACACAAAGACAAAAAAACAAAAATACTGTAATTTTAATGAATGATGGATGTAACCTAGTTTTTCTAATTTGTGAGAAGCAGCTTTTATTTACTTAACTGAGTGCTTAACGCTGGTGCACACAGTGATTTTTCTCTCCAGCTGCTGATGTCTAGCCCAGTGAAGCAGACCGAACTCTTGCTTTGCAAAGTTAAACATTATAATTATTTAGTCTGGCTCACCAGGCTAGCTCGCGTCTGTAGTCAAGCAGAATGTAATGTATAATTCTGTGACGAAATCAGATTTTTCTTAAGTGTTTAATCATTGAGAAAGTTAGATGAAATTGTCACTGAAACTGTTTTCCTGTGCTGGAAAGAATTCAGACTAAGGATATAAAATGATACAACTATCCTCTTACTGTTTTCATTTGGTTTAATTACTTAATTGATCTAACTTTTTGTTTTTACATGTTCTGAAAAAAGAGCTTTCAGCTGATTTTTTAACATTCAGCAGAGCAATTTCCTGTAGAAAGCACTAGATGGTGCTTGTATTCTTCCTCAGCACTGTTTGTGTGTGTGTGTGTGTGTGTGTGTGTGTGTGTGTGTGTGTGTGCATGCGCTAAACAAAAAACAGTAATCAAAGTCAGTCAAGACTGAATGCAGGTATTATAAAACAATGTTTTACCGATATAATGTAAAATGCAGTAAATCTATTTTACAATGAACACACACACACACACACACACACACACACACACACACACACACACACACACACACACACACACACACACACAAACACTGAGGCCGCATTACTGAGCTTGACTATACTTAATGTTTCTTTGTAAACAGTTTCATATGAGAAGCCGATCAGCTGTGATTCTCTGTAGGTTACTCAAAGTCCAATTCATGTTTTATGCACATCAGCTGTTTTGTAACCCATGACAATAAAACACACATTTCATCTTTCATTTAAAGCACATTGTTTCTCATTTGTTGATTAGAAAAAAAAATTCTCTGCAGTAAATAATTTAAATAAGTTTAATTATCCAAAACAAATAATTCTTTATCAATATTTCACATTTGCAGAAAGTACCATTAAAAATGTGTAGACTGATAATAAAATATGTTCATTTATAAAAAAAATGAAATAAAGATAGAAAAAAATTATAAAAACTGAACAGCAAAAACAAAAAGTAGAAAAGAGACAAAGAATTCTAACTCTTTAATTAAACAAGTGTTAAAATGTCTGCAAGGACAACAACAATGACTTAAATAATTTCTATTTTTTATTAGAGTCAGAAGGGAAAAAAATGCTAAAATATTAGCAAATAGAGTAAAATAATTTCATCCGTGTCATTATTAAATATAGTACCTGCTTTTTACCCTTTTTTCCCTTTTCCTTTGAATAGATATGTCTATTGTGGGACACTAAAACTGCACATTTATGCCCAAAGGCCATTGTCATGTTATTGGCATAGCTGGCGTCAATGTTAAAGAGGTTAACTGGAACCGCCAGAATGAATGTAACAGTGATTTAATCAACAGTTAGCTACATTTTATGCCTCTCCATTAATGCAGCTAATCTGGAGGCTATCCCTATTGCTCCATGAAGCGAGCTGTGTCATATCACGCTGCAGCAAGAATCCACAGCCGGGGGCTACGTCGCCTGCCCCACGAAAAGTCACTGTAACACCCTCTGTCACACTGAATGTTAGCGTTCCTCACAAGTGATAGTTAGACTACAGAATAAAGGGCATGGATGTGTCAGGTTGAATTTGAATATGAGCCATCACACTGCCTTGTGTTTTTCTATCTTTCCCCTCCTCTAGAAGCTTTCCACAACCGTGTCAAGGCAGGAAATAAAAGCCAAAGGCTGCACAAGGCGGACAGTGGAAGAACACTTTAGCATGAATCTGTTCCTATCCCAGCCTTATCACCTAACTACCTACCCCCTTCTTCTATTTATTGGTTATGCCTGGGTTGTTTAGAGGCAATTAAGGAGCTAGTTGTGGGGATTTCTGAGGACTGGGTATTATAGTAAAAAGTAAAGAGCTAATGGCTAATTGCCCAAGCAGCTGCTAGTGTTTATGAAGGAGGAGCGAACATGCCGGGGGATCTACCAGGCGTAGACAGCAATGAGAACAAGGACGTGTGTTTGTGTGTGTGTGTGTGTGTGTGTGTGTGTGTGTGTGTGTGTGTGTGTGTGTGTGTGTGTGTGTGTGTGTGTGTGTGTTCAGTAGGGGAGGCTCATCATTGCTGTGGATCACAGGGATGGTTCACTCTGGGCAGCTGCCAGTTGTGTGAGTCAAGACACAGCGTAAGCGCGACTCAGAAAAGTGTCTGCATAAATAATAATCACCTCTCATGGCCTCTGGTGCCATATCTCCAAGGAGTCCAGTGTTTGTATGTAAAGGGTCTTTCCCAATGTTTATTGTACCACATATTCTCACACATCCCCCACCCATTCTGTCAGACCCCCTTTGGGTTTGCGTTGCCTAGTGGATGACAGTTAGCATGTGGCAGAGCTCTTTGATGTGGAAGAGATCCAGCATGCTGGGTTAGTATGCCAGCTTCACCAAGCTGGGATTTCACCCATTTCACAATATCAGCCAAAATCCGGGACTGAGAATGAAAGCATTTAGGGAAAAAAACTGTGTGGTTCTGCATACTCAGATCAGATGGATTCTTTTGTGGTTAGACACAGCCCAAGGTGATCTGGCGTCTGTCTGAGAATATTCTCAGAAGCTTTTTTTTGGTCATATGAGGAAAAAGAAATGCTGAAAAGCTTCCATTTGCACTGTTGTCAAGCTGAGATTAGGCAAAGTCATCAGGAAAGATTTGTTGTCACTTGAACTGAGCTACTGCTTCCCAAAGCTGGGACTGGGATCCCACTGCAGATCTACAGATGATCGCCAAGGCTAACTAACAAAACCTAAAAACAACAAGAGCTAACATCCTTTATGAAAATAGTTTTTATAAATGCTTTATAATATACTTTTTTTACATGAATAATGTTTAGGCAGAGGGTCACAAATCTTTATTCATTTAATTTTGAGGGGCAGGGGCTTTTCTGGTCGCGGCCTCCTTGGGGTCCCTGTGCTCTGGGGCAGCTCCTGGATCTCTGGGACTTGGAGCTCCCTCCATCTCCCACACTTCTTTGGGGGTAGAGCTGTGGCCCCTCACACTCTCTATTGGACACTCCTATAGAGAAACCTTACATAAACAAGCGCGTGTACACACACAGGTGCTCACATGGTGCTCTCATAAGTATGGACTTGGGCACGTTCAACACATGTCTTAAGGCTGTGGTTGACACTTAATGCACTGTGATTTATTATTGTGTGATTGTTCAGTAAAACAATGTTGATTTTATATTTCCTCATCAGGCTGACACAGTGATAGCTTGCTGTTGTTGTATTGTTGTGTGTCCCTTTTCTGCAGGTCTAGAAGCAAAATCTTGTTCTTGTTCACCGGACTCAATAAAGACATGATCTGCACGTCCATGTGACGTTGACTGTTTGCAGGCAACTTTGGTTTAAAGGTGCAATACGTAAGATTTCTAGTGAAAAAAAAATCCCCAAACAGTCCAACTTCTCCATCCTGTTGGAAGGAAGGTTACATTCAAACAGATTTCCTTCTCAGCTGACTGGGAGGTTGTCAGTGTTTCTCCTTTTAAAAAGGCTGACGAGGGACGTCCTGCCTCCATACTTCCTGGCTCCAGAGCCAGTCATAAGTTGCGTCAGCAATCGCTGTTGCATTTGT